AAAATTTAGTAAGAATAATAATTGATGAAAATAAGTAACAACTACGAGCAGTTTAAACACCGGAATTTTTGGCGCGCTCGTCGTGACGTCAAAGTACACGATTAGAGATATGACATTTTAAATCAATTTATTCATCAGTTATTAATTTATTATTTAATTACCCAACTCGATCTTTTTAAAGTATAATAGTTTTTTAATAATCATATATTGGTGAAATAAAAATAAAAGCCTAAAACATCATCATTTAAATTGTAATACGTTGTTTATTTTGTGACATAATACATTGATGTTATTGCATAGATGTTAACTTTTTGTAACAACAAGATCCCTATACGTGTTATTTTTAATATTTTGAAGTTGCCGCATTTTTTGGACTTTTTAATATTTTTTTCGAGAAGAAAACGTACTAATGTTGAAATATATGTACATAGACTTTATTCTAAAGCAATAAAGCATGTAATAATTTCTATATTTAACCCTTTTGTGAATCCAACATATTCTGCTTGCCTAAAACTGGTGTAATGTTTGTTTTATTACTTGTAGGGGCTATGCAGTTTCTTGTGGAGCTGTAGTGACTGCGAACTGAAAGATCTTTTGTGACTCGCCGCTAAAATCATAATAGCTCTCAGGCCGGTTGCCCGGTTGGCCAAGAACTCTATTTTCCTGGCTGTTAGAGCTTTTATATCATCTGGGCTGATAATGGGTATGTTCCGATATACACTGCGAGCACTGCGCAATGGTCTTACTGCTGAAAAATCCGTTCCGTTATGGACTGCCAGTACACTGCTACAGTGCCCTAGGGAAATTTATGAAGTCATAAATTGCCGCCATATTTGTACTGTGAGCACTGGAGATTTCGAGGTAAGGTGCTCGCAGTGCTTTTGATCATGTGATCAGTCGAAACAGAATCAGAAAATGATAAGTTTCTAAATAAACAAAAAAAAATACTTACGTTTATTATAAGATGGATTTAATTGATAAATATTTTTTTTATACACAATTTTATAATATTTTCTTTTGAAAAGAGGGAATCTTTATGAATATAATATAAAACCTTGCATTAACAAATTTGAAAATGGCGCCAAAAAATAGGATTAACAGTATACTGGATTGCGTTCCGTTTTAAAAAGTCACCAGTATAACTAGCTATAAAGAAACGGGCTTCCAGTATACTAAATTGACGTCATACTGTTCAGTGGTCGCAGTGTATATCGGAACATACCCTATATGTCATTCTAGATGTATACTTTGTTTGTGAATCAGCGGTCCACATTCACATAGGAGATATTTTAAAACGTGTAGCGGTTATGATCTGATGTTAAGATCAAATTATTACCCTTACATTTGTTTGGATAACAATAATTTAAAAGAAAATCGATATAATAGCATATACTGACCCGTTATTATACTTTAATGTAATTTGTAAATATACGTACATTTAAAACACACAAGATTTACCACATTATTAATAACCAAGCACAGATAAGGGTTATTACCAGAACAGTATTAAAAATAGGGCAAGTGCGAGTCGGAGTTCAATGATTAAATTATAAAAAAAACTATCTAAAATATATATCCTGTTTCCTTCTTATAAATTTTAGACCGAGTAGTTTCAGAAGCATTTAACTTAATATTTATTTATAAATATATATCTCAAATGCTCACAACAAGCCTTTTCCCTTTCACAATGTTTTTTTTTTAATATACTAATTTAGTAAAACAATACCACTGTAAATATGTTTCTCAATTTACCTGTTGTGCGCTCGCCAACGGTTACAAAGATGCAGGTACTGTCGACACTGTATATACATGAACACCGCGCCACCGGTGAATCCTACCGCAACCACCACCAGCTTCGTCCAGAACGGCCATGCTTTAACAAAATTAAATATATATAGTCATCATTAGTCTATTAATGTCCCCAGCTGGGGCACATGTGTCCCTATGGATAGATAGTGGGCATTAACCTGTGAGTTACGTGTAGCAGGCCGAGTGGGAATTGGTGAGTAATAACGTCTGCGAATGCGGTCGGTAGCAACTACTAAAAGTGCGTTCGAAAAAAACGAGTTCGATGTACACAATTTTTTGGCCCTTGTTAGGTACCGTCCATAAATTACGTCACACAAAATTCGTGATTTTAACATCCCCGCCCCTCCCCCTCCTCCTGTCACCTGTTTACTATACAAATTCTACTAAATTGTCTACTAATTGTTCTGTCACAGTTCGTCGAACCCCCTCCCTCCTAACGTGTGACGTAATTTATGGATTTAGACTTATACTTTAGGGCCCTAAAGTTATTTAACGTGTGCGCCATTGGGGTGCTCAAAATAATATAAAACCGATCCAAATTTATTAATTCATTAGCTGTGTCATACAGGTCAACGAAAACGAAATAAAGCAAAAATATCATATCCTTCCTTTTTCTAATTTTAGTATAGATAATAGATTGATAAGCAGCCAGTTATCATTTCAATATTGATAATGAAATCTGTAACACTGCAAACCTTAGACTTGATTGGAAATTTCCAATGGATAAATAGGAGATTCGGTGTCTAACGGACATTTGGAGTCTTTAAATTCAAATAGGCATTAATAATTATAATAAAAAAACATGAGAAAGAAGTGAAAAAAATATATAATTACTTTCACTAAAAACTAAAAAGAAAAAACAAGCCCAATAGTTTGGAATAATAATAATAATAACACTTTATTGTCAACACCACAGATATCTTCACAGATTTTACAAACTATAGTGTAACAAATGGCGGTCTTATCGCTGAAAGCGATTTCTGCCAGACAACCATTAGATGGATAGGAATGTTAATTATAAAGAAACGGGAGTGTAAACTTAGAGTAGGTAATTCCAAATAAATAATTGAAACATAACAATAATAGACACCAAAAGTTGACAAATATAATATACTTACATAAATACATATAACATAATACATTAAATATGGTACATATAAATACTAATGAAAAGAAGAAGGGGTTATTAGCAGTTAAAATATATTTAACAGATAAATAATGTTCTTTTATCAATTCTTTGAAGATATTTAATGATTGAGATTATTTAATGTTATTAAGTACTACTGAATAACTGAAGAACTGTGAAAATCGTTTTAAAATCTAAACACACATAAAAAATATAAATTCAAAAGCAGAAAAGAAGGATCAACAGTCAAGACCCATTCCTTTTAGACCAGTCAACGGAGCCCCGTATAATTTGAAACGGTCTTCGCACACTTCTAATATTTTTGAAAGACCTATCCAACAACATCCCACATTATAGGGAAATCTTTACATGTAGGGGAAGTAAAAATAATTTTGTTTACTGTTGTGTTTAGTGACACTCGCAAGATTAAGACAAATTGATTGACGTATAAATCATCAAAACTGGCCAAGCCGTTTGGTCTCGACAAGGCTATATAGGAACAAACATACATACATACACTCATAAAAACATTACCCTCCTTTGCGTTGCGCAGTCGGGTAAAAAGATCGTAGATTTTCTCTCAATGAAATAATTTATCTTTTGTCAAGTTCATTTTTTACATATAATGAGTATTTCGAAAATACTCATTTACTGGTCACTTAATATGCTGTGGGTACAAAAATAAATAAAAAATCACATTATAATGTACCTAATTAAATACTTGAAAACTGCAAGTCATTAAAATATTAATTATTCGTAAATGCATTGTTAACCAACATTTGTTGCGTAAGCGTTCCGTTTGTTATTAATGTAAAACGCACATTCGTGACTCTAAAGAGAAAAATCACACGTCCGAATCTTATGATAATAAGATTTATACATCTTATTGATGGCCGAGAGAAAAATTGTTTGTCTGATGGTTATAAGCAAAACAATAGTTATCCTCGCACTTCCCCAACGCGTGTCGTCGACAAAATGTGTAGGGCAGCCAGAAGGAAGGGTCCTTGGCGCCACAGTCAGATGGGTCACATTATCACCAGCCTACTAAAATCCCCCCCTCCTGGGGCTCAGGCCGTTCCCATGGATGGAATCGGATCAAATGAAATAGGTAGAATGGGCAATGACCCACCACGCAGGCCCAATACGGATTGGTGGGTGTTAACGACTGCAGATACAGCCGGGACCAACGGCTTAACGTTCCGCAGCAAGGAGGAGCTCGAAATAATGAATTTTTGATCAGATAGGTATTTTCATACTCGTACGTTTGCTGGACACGCGGGGCGGGTATTATAAAATCATTCCCATAATAAGCATATGAATTAAATATGTGCGGGGCGGAACGTGCTAGATGTAACTGCCGCTTTAATTTAGTGCACACATAAAATTACACAACAAAGAGGGTAAGCCACTACATATAAGTACTTCTCGTTCTAGTGACCTTTAAAAACATATTTATAGAAGTTTTATTTGGAATAACATTCGTCCAATTAAACAAAGATGACTTAATGAAGCCTCATTTCAAGACACTGATACTGCTTCTTCAAGAAGTTTTACAAGTTATAAACATATTCACGCTCTTTTCAAATACTGCTATGTAACATATATGACTTCATTCGTCTCTGCCTACTTATAAATACAATATTCATATTTTAGTCAAAATCTAAGTCTATTCATGTTAATGTATTATTAATGATGAAGTTCATTAGGATATTATCCTAAAGGAAGCAAACTAAGAATCGACTCAATATAAATTTGATCGATTATTAAACTATATTACCCATATTTAATTTTAAAGTCAGATTATCTTCAAATTATCTCTAAAATTATTCTATATTATAATTCGCTTATGACATATTTTAACACCTATACGAAATTTTTCCAATTGTATAGTAGGATAAATAAAAAAAAACTGCCTCATAATTAAGGCATCAAATATTATGAGAATTTAATTAAAAATCAATTATCATGTGCCCATTCTGATATTATCTGTCATTTTATAGTGCTGCCTCATTGTAACCTATAGTTGGATGGTTTATTTCAATAAGCTTTTTTCCAATATTGTGTATTATTTTTTTACTTTCTTACCTATCATCCCACGGTTGACCTCCTCGACGGCCCGTTCTATCAAAACAAATAGTGACCACATAACGCACAGGGCTGCCACGCAGTGAAATAACACAGCGCAACACAGCCTTCGTCGCTCCACACCGGACATGTCTAACAGTCGCCACTAAAAAATAAACGTTTATAAGTATCCATCAACATAGGATACATTTATTAGCATGCTAAATTATTACGACTTATCACGATAAGTCCTATTACTATCCTTGAACCAGAATTCGTTCGCATTCGTATCGGTCCTACGAAAATTCTTGCAATATCAACTTACGGGATTTTTTTGGTAAACAAGGACAGTTGAAAGATTGATAGAATTTTTATTTTCGAAAATTAATGCTCTGCTTAAAATAGAATTTAAATTCTCCTTTAATAAAAAAACTCGTTTAATGAGTATATCAAATTTGTAGTACTGCTTTACTAACCAGTTGTTTAGGTATATAATTTTAACTACAATAATATACTTTTTGTGAAAACCGCAGTATTAGAACATGAGTCATAGTCAACAACGTTTTGAACAATAGCAGTCGGTATTTGTTACACTTGTTGAATATATTTTCTGAGAACAAAGACACATTACTTTTTTTAATAATATATCACTTTATTATTTATATACACATATGTGTCTAACCTCATATAATAAATAATCCAAAATTAAAAGATGGTCGCAACTCATAGTGCCAGGGCCAAAGTAGTTTTTTTTTTTAAGAATTTTTCATTAAGAATATTTTTCAACGCTTTTCAATTCCGTTATCTTTAAGGGCATAACAACTTCTTGTTTCTTGGGTTGTTCTGTTTTTAAAAGAGTGATAACCAACTTGTCTAAGAACTATAAGCCGACGTCGCTCTTGTGAAACGTGTCTATGAGTTGTTCTGAAAAGTCATTACGAATAGTTCGCTCGCAGCTCGAAAACATAAGACCTCCCGAACAAGTCGATTACTGAAAAGGCCATAGCATCATGGACCATATTCATACGCTACGACAAGTTATACAGAAGACCTAAGAATATAACCGGCCTTTCTGCTAGGCTTTCGTGGACTAATAGAAAGCCTTCGATTCTATGGCGAAATGGGTGGTGCTCAGTCTCTGCAAATATTATGATTGTAAATATATCGAGTCCATTTCCTAGTTGTGACAAACAAAATATTAAACATAACAACCTTACTATATATAATTTATCTTTCTCTGTCAATAAAGTCAGCATGATACTAAATTGGACATTTTGGGAACGGGAAATTTCGGGTAAAAGACATTTCGGGAATTTCTGTATTGACAAGTTTACTGCGACACAACGTTATAGCGACAATCGATGGGGCGATGGAATATCGGCTATCTTTGCCTTCCCAGAAAGGGTGAAGATAATTAAGAAAAATAAACATCGGTAGCAACGTACGATGGAGATATTGTACACCGGTTCGACCTATGATGGTGCGACAATCTGTAGCGAAGCAACAGTCGATGGTAAGGCTGAATGTTGAAATGACAAACGATAACTTACAGCATAAGAGGAACTAATTTGTGCAAAACAGCTGAATAAGAACAGTATTCAAACTGTATTATCGTAAGAATCTATTTTATTGAATCTGAATTATTTCTATTTTTTTACAACTATCGTTCATCAACCAATGTTCAGTTTGTGTTATAGATAGAATAGATGTTCAATCTCTCCACAATACGTCGCTATAACGTTGTCGCCCTATGGTTCGCCGAATAGATGTATATTCAGTTTCACTATAAATCTCTTAATTTTTCTGTGCAGTATTTTTTTTTCAATTTATTGTAATTTTATTTTTTGCAACTATGAAACAGACTCAGATATATCTAGGTGCTAAAGAAGGCTACAAGTATTTGTAGAGCATGCAACTGTTAGGAATCAGAAGAGGCAACAACTCGCCTTCCACAATTAAATTTATTGAATTTTTTCAGAGGGTGGAGTCATGAGCAGGGTTGGAATTAACAAGATAATTATTTTTTGGATAATTATCATAATTATCAGTCACTGGCAACAATTTCTAAAATACAGATAGGCATTCATAATTTACTAAACTCCTATTTTATCTTTGTTTTATATTACAAAAAATAAAAAATTCACCTGTGAAATCACATTGAACAAAAGTGAAATTTAAACATTAATAAAAAATTAAAAAAATTTTTTTAATAAAAAGGGGGTTTTTAATACTTTTTGTTTTTGTAGGTTCATCGTAAACAATTTTCTCTAGCATAAAACCATATTTGATAATTGTTTAAAATGATTCCCCTTATATAACAAGTTCAAAAAAAAAAAAATTGTGTAGTATTTTATAATTATCAAGGTATTTATTGGGATAATTATATTATCAATAATAAATATCACTCTGAATCCTGGTCAGGAGTCATAAAAACTGGAGAGCATGCATATAAAAAATGAATATTGAGAGGATGAACAACTGTAGGGATCTAATATGAGGCCACTGTGAATAACTGGAAGGTGTCATATTCTAAGTTTTAAATGGAACCAGGGTACAAAAAATGCATTGTAGACTAGTGGTTTCTTTCTGTGCTAGTCTTATTCCATTACCCACTATGGCATATTCTGCCTATGTGCCATAGTGAAGGAGACATGTTGTAAGATTGAGCAGTAACAGTATCTGTATGAAGAATTTTGATAACGCTATTAGAATGGTTCACTGCTGCATCACAGTACCTATATTTCACTTTTCAGTGATTTATGAACCAAAGAAACTGGAATGGCTTTGTTTTCATAAACCTATTTAAACAAGACTTGGTGTTGTATTTTCTAAGCAATATTTCTCTATATACCATTATGTTAGTGTATACTCATCTTTCTTTAGGCAACTGGAAGTTTTGTGTCTAATGCAGTATGAAAATTAGGATTCTATGGTTGCAATATTTTGCAACCATAGAATCCTTACCTTAATATATTACCTATTTATATTTTGTATCATTCCATATCCTCGATTTCTACATTCTCAAAAAAACAAAGACAAATAAATATACTTAAATTTTATCCTTACTCAAAAGATATATCAATTAATTGGTATAAATTTTTCCAATTTTGCAACCTATTTTAGGTGGAAGAATTGGAATTTTACTATATTTCCATAGCTTCTTTGTTGTAATTTAAAAAATATAGGATTAGTAGTTATTGTAGCTCATACCTCATTAAATGGCTTGATCTTAGTGTGCATAATGAAATTGAATTTGCAAAGTTCACATGATCTTGTTTCTGATGCTGTTAACCATTGCTGCAAACAACTTTGATGTACATATTTTAAGCTCCCTGCAATAGATAAAATCAGTCAGTAGGATGGAATGTAATGAATTAAAAAAATAGAAATGCAATCCATTCAAATGAAAAAAGAATTAAAATAGTTACGAATATAAAACAACTTTTTCACACCAAGTAATACAACAAATAGTGTACATTAGAATATTTATACCTGAACAATAACATGGAGCAAGTAAAGGATTGTGTGGTTCACTCTCGCAATGACAAATGCGGCAGATATCTCCACTAGAGTTACTGCATGAGGTATGACTACTACCCGACCCTGCGCGGACCGCTTCTCTGCCACATCCACCTCCCCATTCCCAACTCTCAATATCAGATGTATTTTTCACGTTGATTTGCTGAACTGGCATTGTGATTCTTTCCTATTATCGTGCTCAAAAGAGCCCACGTAATGAACATTTATTTATACTACAATTGTGATAGCATTTCGACAGATAAAACACGCAGGCAGAACATGTTACGTCTTCATACTTTAACAGGTATAGTGGTCACGAATACCTTTGGTAATTAATAAAATCTTTATCCATGAAAATGACACTGAAAATCTAAATTTCCACCCAACCCAAACAACACGAAAAGAAAAATATCAATAATCTTCGGGCTTCTTCGGATGCTACAAAACGTCAAATGCTTTTTTTTCATGTTATTATTTAATAAAGACAAAGGGACATTTTAGTGCAACATAAAGCCTACCGTCGACCAGCGTTGACCACAAAACACAGATTAAACAAAACATGAAACTATAGAGCTTCTTTATTTTTGAAGAATTTATAGAGGTTAAATACCCAAAATCGCGCAAAAAGGTAATTCGCAAAAGTTTTTTTTTTTACGTCCGGCCAGGTGAACATTATTTTTTTGGTATTTAAAGCCATTAATATTTTTTTTATAATAAAATATCTCGTCCTTTAATGAGGAAGTACTAAAAAAAAACATTAGTTCCCGAAATAAAACTAGATGTCGCTACGCTACGTTCTTGATTTCTCCATGACAACCCTTTCGGTTTTCTTTCATGTTTAAAAGTAAATTAGTTTTCAAAACTCAATAAACAAGTCATATTCTATTTGTATCTAGGTTTCGAACTTTGCAAATTTCAGTTTTTTAAAATATTAGTTAGTTAGTCCATTACAAAAATCAACTTTTACTTTTACTTTCGCCATCTAGTGGAAGTGCGTTTTAGTGCTTTCTTTATTTTATTTTAATACTTCCTCATTCTTTTTGCCATTTAATCATTAAAACCAACAGTTAATATTTTCGATCAACAACACAAAAAGATAACGGCTCCCATACTAAAACACTACTCAAATACGGCACTAAACTATAGAACATACACTACGAAAGCTAAGGAACATATTACCACAGAGTGTATTCTGTGATAATACACTAGGCTACAACTCAACTCCGGAACTGAGTAAGTATTGAGTCGCATTGTCAATTTTATTTTTCTTAGTAAAATATACCGATAGTTATATTCGTTGATAATTAAGGGAGGTAGGAGGTTTTCAATTTAAATAACAGTACAATTATAAAATCTTTGCACACATTATAATTTAAGACTGTTACGTTACAATGATAAGAAGGCAATTTATAGTGAAATAATCCTTCAGTACTATCGAATGTTTCTCACTATCTATAGATTTTAAATAAAAGTAATTGTAAAACAATATGTTATTTAAATTAAACATAGTTATATTATTTACCATTAAATAAAGTTTATTGTAAAGTTGTCTTGGACTTCTATTTATCTGAGCCGTTTCTTTTTTGCATATATAGTGCAATCTTACGTCAACAAAACTGGTTAAGTTTAAGTTGCGCTAACAACTTTATTTTTCTTAGTAAAATACACCACAAAAAAATAATATATCTTAAGTAATACACATTGCTTTCTTAAAATTCACTAATAGTAAAATTTCCCCATTACTCAGGGAATGAGTTAATTTTACGAAACACTTTACGCGCCCATGTAGCAATAGATACTTGTGTATGTGTGAGTTATCTCTATCTCACACCCATGGCCTAATTATCTAATTTTTAAATCTACCACAATCATTTTCAAAAGTATAGTGGTTGTAGTAGTCACAATTGCTTTCCAAACGAGTGATTATTTGAATGATACAGAATGTCATAGATAATTTATTTGGTTTTGTTATTGTTAATTTCTTAAATAATCTTTACGATTTTGTATGATTGTAATTAATTCTCCTATTTCGACTTTAGATTAAAAATATTGTATTTAAAAATATGTATATAAATAAAATAATAGAATGTTAAATAATTTCATACTTATGACAAACAACGTTTTATTTCAACAAAAAACAGAAACAAAACCATCGTACAAACAAAACGCACCAAGCGCGTTTTTTTTTGTTAGCTCGTCTAGGGATGAATCGATACGAATGAATACGAGTATTTACTTGATACTTTTCTTGATACTGATACCGAGTACTTCATCATCAACAGCCCTTTTACGTCCCCACTGCAGGGGCTCAGGCCTTCCTTATGGATGGTTAAGGAGGATGGGCCATGACCCTCCACACTGGCCCAATGCGGATTGGAGGGTATTAACGATTGCAAATGCAGCCGAGGCCAACGGCTTAACGTGGCTTCCAAAACATGGAGTAGCTCGAGATAATAATTTTTTGGTCACCCATCCCGTGACCGACCCTTGCGAAAGTTGCTTAACGACAACGATCGCGGGCCGCGGTGCTTATCCACTACGCCATGAGCTACTCAAGTACTGTCACCAAGTACTTATAGCATCGATAATAGTACTAGGTATCGCAAGAAAAGTATCGAGTAGTAAATATTATCGTGAAGTAAGTAAGTGTTTGTATCGGTACTTATTCCGTCACTCACTGAAGAGTGTCAAAAACTTGCGTCTGTTTACTCTGTGTTAAGGTGTCTAAAGTCTATCTTATGAAAAAGTCCCACAGGCGCAACTTCCCTTTCCCTGTATGACTAATCTTTACTAACCCCTACTAATTTTATGCAGTAAGAGATCGATTTAGATGGGGCACTGCCAACAAAATTTTGAAACTAAATGCATACTAAATACTTTCTATATGCATCGCTTTTTATATCTAGACTTAATTCTCTTTCTTCATTAAATAGAGAATAGCTGTTGACCATCAATAGTATCAAATCTACTCTAAAAATCTATAAAAATGATGACGATGGTGAGGCAGTAGGTATCGTTGAATCACTAAGCTAGTCATGCCATCAGCTGTACATCATTTGTCAGAAAAGTTGGATAAACTTGGCATTTAATTGAAAGTTTGAGATATTTATTAATAGCTGTTACAATTTTTCGTTGTGTGTAGTCTTCTGAGTAAATCCACATATATTAAGTCCTTACATATGAAATTGGTGTTTGGTATGGGAGGAACAAAAAGCCGAATACTTTTTAATATAATATATTAATTTAATCAAATTATCTCTTCTAATTTGGTAGCCGTCTGTTGTGCAGTGTGTGATCTCGCGTTGTCCTGAATAGAAGTAGCAGTAGCGTAGAGCGATTGACCAGCCTCGGTTGTTTAACAACTACTTTTTCCAACAATAGTTATCAAAGGTATTTTTAACTATCAATTTGCTTAGAAAATTCCGATTTACTTCGAAGTTATTGTTAAATCAATATCTTTCAAAAAAATGTCGCGATCGCAATTGCTTTCACATTGCAAATAGTTGTAGCGTGAAGTTTGCGAATGTCTTTCAAATGTTAAATTCAAATTGATTTGAGAAAGCTATTTTTTTAAGCAATTAAGCTTTAAGGTCACCCATTATTATGACGTCACACGCCGATGAATATGCCAAATCGACGTAACCTATTTATCAACTATTTATTTACGAAGTAAACCAAAAGAAATACAGTAAAGATATTGAAGTTAAATTTTATGTTTTGTATAATTACCTACTCTGGTTTTGTTTATAAAAATACTAGCTTTCCGCCAGCACCTTCGTCCACGTAATCTTGTATTATACATAAAAACCTTCCATTTGAATCACCCTATCTATGAAAAAAACCGCATCAAAATCCGTTGCGTAGTTTTAAAGATTTAAGCATAAATATGGAAGTAGGGACAGAGAAAGCGACTTTGTTTTATACTATGTAATGATTCAGTAAATGAGAATAGGTTTATCTATTTTTATACCCCTAAATGACAAGGCTAGTTCACCCCAAATTTATGTGGCAAGTGGATAAATTGTATAAATAAATATAAATTTTACGTATCTTTAATAACACCATTTTGACATGACAACTTCTTGTTTACGTGTGACGTGACATTACAGTAAACAGAACCTGTTATTGGTTTTCATTGTTAATTAAATTCTTAATAATGTTGCATTTTTCATATTTTATTAGATTATTGATTATTTTATAAAGGATGACAATAACACGCCAGTTGTTTGTATTAGTTTCAAATACCCTAATGACAATGGTCAAGTCAAAGTGTAAATTTTGCACTAAAATGCCTTAAAAGCCATTGGTATCTTCGGCTGGAAATATTGTTTTTTAATATTAATAGCAAAATTTGTAAAAAGAAGCTGAGGATAAACGTTTTTTTTTTAATTTCAAAATGTGTTTATAAATTGACTACTTACTTTCTTTTCTTTTCTTAAGTTACTTTTCCTTAAACTATTCAGTTAAAAAATAAATTATAAATGTTTATGAAGTTCATAAAAAAGATTAGCTGCAAAATAGTTGAACTGAATTTTTTTTTCTTCATTATTGTAGTCTGTATGTGTCTCACTGTGAAGTCCAAATAAAATAAGCATACAAATGAGCTCTATTATGTATCAAAGTATTAAGCGATGGGTCGTTATCCATTTTTTAAATCATGAAACGCAACCGCTATCAGCCTTGCGATTCTATAAAAATCCAAACCCGAATTGGATTTCTCTCAGGTGTCTGAATTCGCTTCAAAAAGAAGCATCCGTGCAACCATACATCTAAACTACGCGGAACGTACAAACATATACCTTTTTCATTCACTTGTATACTAACATCCTGTTGTTGTTTCATTCATACATGACAGGTTGCATTGTTTGCGTTCAGGTTGATTATTTAAACGCTCTATATTATGCGTTACTTTTTATAAGGTCTTTTTATAAACCGTCAATGTAAAGCGTTGATCTCATAAAGATGTCTACGTATCGCTGCAAACTGTGATCGCTGCTTCTTGGTGATCGTGGTTTTTGTAAAACGAGTCGCCCAAATATCAACTTTAAGTGAGAGAGTGAATTCAGATTTACTTTAAAGCGTTGAGGAAAATAGATAGTTATTGTATCACTGAATCACGAGTGAACGCGGTTCAGGCAAATCACTAGTTGAATAACTGTCTATCGCTACAAAGTATCAAACACTTTACATTACACGACTGACTCAGAGAGACAGTGAAGATTCCATTCGCTATATCCCTATGATGATTAATATGATGTTATATAATATATTAAATTTTTTCAAACAATGTCGATACAGAAATTGAATTGATTATATTTTTCAGAATAGACAGTCTTTTATTGTGTAAACTCTCTTTTAAAACGCGTTACATTACCACATTTTTTAAAATATTTCATTGTTATAGTGTTTAAACACTTAATTGAACGAATAACATAATCAAAATATCTTCAAGGAATGTTTTAGTTTCTTCTTTTTTATCAAATAAAATAAATATACATTATAGCTGAATAAACGGTTTTAAATTTACTATTTTACTGATTAGATTAATCCGATTATTCGAGTAGGTACCGCAATGGCTATTTTGTGGAAATCGCTGTTCCAGTGCAAACCAATTCACTCACTACTACTCTACTTGTCGATGTCGATTGTCTGACTGATTTTCTGTCATTTACTCTACTCATTTCTTTGGATTGTGAGGTCGGTTTGGTAGCGTCGTTTTTCATGACAATATTATAAAAATGGAAAATCCTGCTAAAGTTCAGGCAGAGGCTAATTCTATAGTGCACGAATATATTCAAGCATTTGATAAATCAATCGCTCAAAAATTTTTGGAGATAACAAAAGCGGTACGTATTACGGCAACCTAACACCACGTGGAGTTTGGGCCACACGTGTTCTCATAAAATGACATGGTTTTCTGTTATTATAGGAAATAATCATTGATTAAATACTAATATTGCCTGTTAGTAGAAGGAAATAAATCCTCTTTCATTATTATATACTTCTGATTTTATATACGTTTTATGTTGTTATTTTAGAGTTTTTCTAATATTTTTTAATACAGCTGTATTTAATTTATTTCAAATATTTTACAGAAACGCGCAAAAGTAACATCAACACGTATTGTGCAAATTTTACTGCAAAGAAGCCAGTCAGGAAAAGCTCATCAAAAGGAAGCATCAAGGTGAGTCTGAACAAGAATCATTGTTCCTAATTAGCTATTTATATCTAAATAATGAAAATTACTCAATGTGATTTAAAAAAAATGAGTTTGTGATAGTTAATCAAGTATTTCCTAACCTTAACCTTAAATTTCAAATAAGTAACAAAAATTTCAGTGGTCTATATCTGTAAATTTTTATCATATTAACTTTCAATAAATTAAAAGGGAAGACATGGCAGCTCATAATTTTGTCATTCAAAACATTTTCACATTCACCTATACTTTTCAAAGATTTCCCCAACTGTATTTTCTCAGGATTTGTCTTGGTTTTAATAGCGTACAGAATGGTTTTTAGGTATCAGAAAGCATACTGATGGGGTCATACATTTCATGCCAAACTTTTAATGTTATGGGTGACTTATTTGAACTTTTGCGGGATCATGTTATTTTTAAAAGTATTATTGATTATGTTTGAACTTATTGGCTGTATTCAATTATTAAAAACTATTATTACTGGAAATTTCAATGAACTATCGTTTTAAAACAACCAATTTTGAAATTGAATCCTCTAGGTTTTTAAACTTCAAAACCTAGTTTTAGAAGTTTGTGGTGGCAATCCTAGCTTTATAGACTTGGTTTATCTAAAGACTTGTACTTATAAGTGTTGACAGTCTTTATTAATTAATTAGAGCAACATGCAGTTTTGTAATAGTTGTTGGTTCTTGCTTTACCTTTATACTACTTGGCATATTTAATAATACTGTTAATATGTTCACAGTTATATATTATTCTACTTAACATATGTATGACATGATTCATCATGAAGATCATATTCAATTCAAAAACTATTATCACATTTATAAAAGGAGACTAACGCATTATTTTAAACTTTCTATTTACCTAATATTGCAAAATATGTTAATTTGTAGTCAGTGTACATTTAATATTTATTTGTAATACTATGTTTGTTATGGTGAATCATATCTGCATATTTTTTAAATCTGCTAACATTGGAGATAAAAATGTTAAAAATAAAAATATAATAATCAATTTTCTCTGTCAGTAATAGACTTGAAAAGCTTGTGCATAAAAAATATGTGTATTTCATTAGTGCTGTAGCACTAGATCCATAATTAGTGCTGTACAGCTAGATAGGTCTGGGTAGCATCCTGTACCAAAGTCCTCACAAAGATGAATCTATCGAGCCCAAACACTATGCAGTTGCATCATTTCATTACTAAATCAGCTTACTGAAACCATAATATTGCATTATCATCTGACTTACATGTCTATGTAAAATTTTAAATATATTGGACGTCTGGAACAGGGTCACAGGCGAATAGGAAAATGAGAAAGTGGTCTTTATCCTTACCACATTGTGACACAGACACACTATTACCAAGAAATATTTATTTATATATATTTCCACTGTTTTTAAGACATTTTTTTTAACCTCATTAAAAAACAATAATTAACAATTTGCCTAATTCCATAAAAAATGCATATTGAAAAATAATGTTCCTAAAATAATATACAAGTTACATGTTACCTTGTTTTCATAAACTGCCAATGATCTAATTATCTTTCTTTAGCTACCATTTAAGTTCCCAAGTGCATAATTATAGTGTAAAATAATAATTATAAATAGTTTTGTTTTATCTAATTAAAAAAAATACATTGCATATTTTATTTGAAACTCAAAACAGCATAACAGACACCAAAATATGTAAATTTCAAGTGTCAATCTATCAACTTTATTTCCATACTTTCTCTTTGTTTATTCCTTATAAATTACTCTTTGGACGTTTAAGTTGCTTGATCAATGTCTTTGCTACATTTGAGACAAAGCATCCAGTACCAGTTTTCATAAAGACAGTTCTAACAAACCCACACACAATGCATTTGCATAATTTTATCACTAAGTTCCTATGACCACCTTCCAACTATATCATCAAACTGATTTGAGCTGTTTCACTGACACTATAATATTACATTGTCATCTGACTTGCATGTATATGCAAAATTTCAAATCTATCGGACTTTGGGAAGTGGGTCAAAATTGAGTTCCAACATTTGCACACTAAGACACAATTTATAAAATTGTAATGAAGAGAAACATCTGTAAAGAGAGAAATAATACTAATACATTTTTTGAAGTTTTGAGGTGAAAAAAATTAACAATTTACCGAATAAAAGGAAAAGAGTTGTATACTGATAACAGGTTTTTTCTGTAGTGTAATAATATTTGAATTAATGTAATGTATGTGTTTGTAACTAAAAACTTGGAATTTCAATGTCTTATTTCTTTGACGTAATGTCTATGTAGAAAACCCAATTGAATTTTAGTGTACACAGCCTCTTAAATAGGATACCTATAATGATATATAAAACACGTTAAATTAAAAAATAGTATTTTTGCGTTTTTTTTAAATTGACCATTAATAATTTATTACAGTTCGGATGATTCCAGTGAAGAAGATGCGAAAGCTAAGAAACCGCAGCCTCAAATCAATGGTAAAGGTCCAGTAACAAAGAAAAAACCAGACTCGTCTGACTCTGATAGTTCCGATGATGAAAAACCAGCACAGGTGAGATAGCTTTATATGTTTTTTTAGAATTCTTGCTGTAACTCTCATGATGAAATATTTGGAATTGATAAAATGTGATAAAATGTATATTATTCGTCACTACCTCTGAACAATGATAAATTAATAAACAACATATTTTAGATAAACACATGTCTATATATAGATTTAACATTTCAGAACAAACAAAAACCTGTGCAGAAACCTATTGTAAATAAAAAAGCAGAATCATCAGATGACAGCGATAGTAGCGAAGATAATGCAACTTCAAAACCAACAAAGCAACCAGTTAAGCCACAGCAGAAAAATGTACCGGCAAAGGTTAATAACAAAAAAGATTCATCTGAAAGTGACAGTAGCGAAGATGACCAACCTCAAAAGAAAATTCAACCTAAACCTACTCCAATAAAAGCAACTCCAGCTAAGAAGCAAGAATCTTCAGATGATAGTGACAGTAGTGAAGATGAAAAAGCTAAACAAAAATCTGCTCCAAAAAGTGTACCTGCTAAACCTGCTCCAGCTAAAAAACAAGAATCGTCCGAGGATAGTGATGATAGCAGTGAAGATGAAAAACCTAAAGCTAAAGCAACTCCTCAATCCAAAGCTTCTGTTGCTCAAAAGAAAAAACAGGATTCATCTGATGACAGTAGTAAAGAGGAAAAACGGGCAGCAACAACTAAGCCAGTTGGTAAGCAACAACCCATGTCCGTGAAGGCTCAACAAAAAAAACAAGCTTCATCATCTGACAGTGATAGCAGTGAAGAAGAATCGAAACCCCAACAGAAGACCCCTTTGAAACCAGTTGTGAAAGGAACACCGGCCAAAAAGCCAGAATCATCATCAGATGATAGTAGCGATGATGATGAACCATCTAAAAAAAAACAGCCTACAAAACCCACTCCTGCTAAAGCTGTTAAAAACACACCAGTTAAAAAACAAGAGTCATCTGATGATAGTGATGATAGTAGTGAAGATGAAAAACCGAAAAAGGCAGTTCCAAAACTACAAACAGTGCCAGTAAAACCAGCAAATAAAGCACCAGCAAAAGCAGATTCATCTGATGACACTGATAGTAGTGAAGATGAAAAGCCTGCAAAAAAAGCTCCTGTGAAGACACCTGTCAAACCTACACCAACTAAAAAACAAGATTCATCCGATGAAAGTGATAGTAGTGAAGATGATAAACCTGCCCAAAAAAAACCAGCTAAACCACAACCGCCTGCCAAACCAACTCAAAAGAAAGCCGACACATCAGATAGTGAAGAAGATAGCAGTGAGGATGAAAAATCGAATGTTGCTCCATCAAAAATGAAGAAATCTGCTTCTAAAAAGGCAGAATCATCTGATGAAGATAGTAGTGATGAAGAGACTCCAAAACAAAATCAAGTCAAAAATTCACAAGCAAAAAAATCTTCTGATGACAGTGATGATGATGAAGCTCCTCCTGCTAAAAAAGCTAAGAATCCAGAGAATCAGGTAAAATATAAAATGACAATTGTAAATTAAATGAAAATAATGGTTTTTGAAATGATAATTAATGTAAAACTTTTTCATTTCTAGGGATTCAAAGCTGGTAAAAAAAGGAAAGCTTCTGAAGGCGACGGTGACTCTGCCCCTCCTAAGAAGCCATACAATAATTTTGTAAAGGTTAGTGTGTAATTCTATATTTATTTATAAATCTTTTTAGTATTCTGTAGTATTTAGCTTATAATTAGAAACATTATTGTATTTTCTTTTGCACAAAGTAAAATGATCATTTTACCTACTTTTCACTTTAGGGAGCAAACGTCGTTTCTACACCAAACTGTGACGAATTGACAAGCAATAAACCTGCTCCATTTCGACGAGTTGTGTCTGAAAAAGTTGAAGTGGATCCTAGACTTAAGGATAATTCTTTTGAAGCTAAGGTAAATGCCCTAAAAATGGATAAAAAGCCAAGGCAACTCTATATAATATTACCAATCATTAAAATTCAATTTGAAACCTTTTATGGCTTTAATTTCGGGCATTTACTTTCATAAATTCGAAAGGATGATTACATAGGGTTGTCTTGGTTTTGTATCACAAGTTTCTCTATTTTTAATAGGAAGGGGAGACTCAAGAAAACGACGAAGATGAATCTGAAGGCAATCAAAGTGGGAATTGGCAAAACCGCGGCCGCGGAGGTTTCAACCGTGGTAGAGGATTCAATGATAGGGGTAGAGACGGATTCAGAGGAAGAGGTGGTCGCGGGGGCTTCGATAGGGGCGGTCGCGGTGGCTTCGATAGGGGCGGTCGTGGAGGCCGGGGAGGAGATAGAGGTGGCCGAGGAGGTTTTAGGGGAGGCCGTGGAGGAGACAGAGGTGGCCGAGGTGGCGACAGAGGTGGTCGAGGTGGCTTCCGTGGTGGCCGTGGAGACAGACACTCTTGGGGTGGTGACAGAGGAGGATTCAACAAAAGTTTTAATGACAGAAAGAGTTTTGACAGTGGAGATAATCAAAACAAAAAAATAGTTTTTGATTAAAAAGGTTAGTTTAGTTTGTAAAATCATTTTAAGTTTAATACCTTTAAATTTGTGTGTGAGTGTGTGGGTAGGTATTGTATAAATTATTGTGCATTATACATATTTAACTATTATAGGACATTGTGTTAATATTTTTATACATATGTGTAGTAAGGTTTTTGTTTATATTTTTTTATTTAAAACTTGCGTCTTTGTATGTGTCGTAGATTTGATCATTTCGTAAATCAACCACCTAAAATTGATCATATTGTTTAATCGTCAACATTGAATGATATGTGAGGTGTCCAAAAAAGTAATCTAATTATTTGCTGAAATAGCTTATTTATACGTTAGTGTTACGATTTTGTGATCTGCTTGGCGCTCACATTGACCTACAATAGTGAATCATATAGGACATTTAAGTTAGTTTGTATCTCAAAAACTTTCTTATCCTCCAATATATTTTTATCATCCTCTGGAGTTAGATCAAAATCCTTTCTCTATCATAATCTTGCGATATCTCCATAAAACTGAAGAATAGCAATTTCCGACGCACCTTTGCACTGCACTCCTACAATTATCTCACCAAACTTCTGCATTCCAGTATAACATGGGCACTTATCTCTTCAGCCTCCACGCACGCCCTGCACAGAGGACTGTCAGAATAACCCATATTATAAAGGTGTTTGTTAAAGTTTCCATGTCCAGTTAGTATACCTACTATTTGCCTTAGAATTTGTCTAGGTAATTTGTTCAACTTACGTGCTAGACGTAGGTCTACCTTCGAAATTGCTTCTTTGGTTTGCCTGCAGTCTGCCGTTTGTGACCAGTATTCATTATGTTGTCGTAAGCTACGTTCTCTTACACAGTTTCTGAGCTGTCGAAATGGGATGGGTATAGTGGGTTCCGGTCTGATGGGTTTCCTGCTGGACCCCTCTCTAGCGAAGTAGTCTGCTGCAACATTACCCCTCGACCCACTATGTCCCTTGATCCATTGCAGAGTCAATTTGTTATACTTACATACCTTCGCATACATTAGACCTGATGTCATTATATTGCTGTCTAGAGCTTGTAATACTGATGCACTGTCAGAGAGTATACGGATATTCTTATTTCTCACTCCCCGGCATGCAATTGCTTCAGCAGCCTTTATTATGCCCAAACATTCTGCCTGGAAGACCGTGTTGTAGGTGCCCAGTGCCATAGATATGTGGATATTTAGGTCCTCTGAGAAAACACCCGCACCTGTACCTGAGTTAGTTTTAGAGCCGTCTGTAAAGACTCTTAGCTCCTTGTGGTGGAAGGAATCTGGTGTGTCCTCGTAGAGTTGTATTTTGTATTTTTTGTCAAATACGTACCTTCTGGGAATTAAGTCGTTTATTGCCTTAAAGAATGGGAATTCTTTATAGATGTTCTTTAGAATGTTAGTGTGCGGAGTGCCATCATCCCTCCACAGCCCCAACGTGTTTAAACACGGCCTTCTGTTGTATGAAAAGATGTAAAGGTCTTACGTTGAGTATTGTCTCCAGTGCTGTAGTAGGCGTAGTCCTCATGCAGCCAGAGATTGCGCAACATGAGAGTCTTTGAAGGCAGTCAGTCAAGCTTACGTACTTATCTAATGTCAAACATTTATATTTCAGTTAATTGTTGGAAATTTTATTTGTTATTGCAATAGCATCTTTTGAAGCAATAGATAAAAGAGTAGCTCGCTAGTTTAGTGGATAAGTGCCGCGGTCTGCGATCGTTGTTAAGCAACTTTCGAAAGGGATGAGTGACCAAAACATAACAGGGCTGATGATGATGACATAAATAGCATGCATATTCCCTATTTTGATGAACTACAAGTATTCATTTGTTACAGAGTGGTGCCCGCGGTTCATGGGGTGAGCGTGCTAGCTTAGATTTGAAACATACTCGTGGCAAATCATTTAAACATGAGAAAACGAAGAAAAAACGTGGATCGTACCGCGGTGGCGCTATCGACACTGGCGTCCACTCCATTAAATTTGAAGATTAATAAATGAATATTACTATTAAGTATTTCAAATTTATTGACATAAGCTTAAGATAAGATTCTGTTATGTTTATAAGTGTTGACAGCAGATTTATATATTATTTTTGTCTCTTTACTTCATCGCATTTATTATGACTATGGATTTAATTTAGGAGACAATAGTCTAATAATTTTATGTCTTTAATCTTACGTTAATTGTAAGTACCAAATGTGTAACTATTTTTTTTTTCACAAAACCTAAGTGTAGGTTTTATGCGATTATTATGTCGCCCAATGTAAATTTGACAGTTAGGCAGTGAATTGCCAGTGAATAATAGGTTCATTGCTGCATTAAATTTGCATTTACCTGTATTAGATGAAATTAAGATCTCATGGGTCAATTTAAATGAAACTTTTTGTTACCACATTTAAATAAAAAGAGGAATGTATCTGATTAAAAAAGATTGGATATATTTTACTAGCTTTTCGCTAGTGACTTCGCATATGTATTATACATATCGACGCTGGAAAGCAAACACGTAGTAACCCGCAAAACCAAAATTGTTATTTAGAGCAGAAAAACTTTATTTTTTTTCGATAAATAATTCCTATAAACGTCCATGGTAACAAATTAGGTGTTCCTTAGTCAATTTATACGGAAAGAAGATATTTTTTCTTGGAAAAATATAAAGATTTTCCACTCTAAATATCCAATTTCGTTTTGCAGGTTACTACGTGTTTGCTTTCTAGCGTCGATATAAACCTTTCTCTTGAATCACATATATTGATGAAAACCGCATTAAAATCTTTTGTGTTGGACTTTGTTATACCATAAGAAATTATGAACATTATTGCTTTTGAATAATGTTTCTAATCGCCAGAAAAATATTTGTTAAAAAATGAGGTAAATTCAAAATACTTAATATGATTTAGGCATTTATTTTAATTTGACAAAATGATTTATTTAGCAAAAAATGGCTACGACTATTAAGATTGGAACAATGAAAAAAGTTGTAAAAACAGGGAAACTACGCGGCTCAAGCCGCTGGCGGAAAGCTAGTATAAAAATATTTTAAAAATATGCATATTCCCAATTGTTAGCTCTTTCAAAAAATAATTAGTCACCGGTACTAAGCAAACAGTGAACATCTTTAAATTGACCCTTTCAAGCACAAGATAAAATAATAGTTTTTTTATAAAAAATATTATAATAATAAAATAATTTGTTTCATGTATTCAGGCTACACATGTGTGTATATATTTTGAACGTAAGTTGTTAAATGTTGATTTTACTTTTGTACATATGAACTATGTATGTAATTGTAGGAATATTTTAAAAATAGATTAACTAAGCCCGCCTTCAATAAAAATTTCGGACCGGATCAATAGTTTCATTATAAATAATCCATCACTTGTAATTAATTATTGACTATATAAATAAAAAAAACATCATGTTTGTAAATTTCGCAAAAGCGTTCTACAGCATAAGTAGCAAAGAAGTATCTGCCAGGCTGGCAGCACCAACCTCTTGGAATTAATAGAGTGCGTTCAGGCTGGCTACGTCACTCTCTGAAATGCATTCTTGAACAACTAGTAATCAATAATAGTCTTACTTAGAATTTGATTTTTTGTTCAAACAACTTTGATAAGTCCCGTAAATTGTTGATGCGCTGGAAAAGAATAAATTTATGAATATGGAAAATAATAAAAAAAAGACATTACTTTGTAACAACTAAAATAAAATATATCTAAAAATATTAAAATGAATATCATTAATATAATAAGTTAAAATCTAAAAATAAATTTAATTTACGAAGTTTCCCGCGAAGGAGCTACTACTATCATGGCGTCACTATGACGTCACGGCACTCTGAAACAACTATCGTTTTATGAAAGTTAAATTCTCTTATCAGAAAAAAGTACTTATTTTCATTTTATAAGTGATAAAAAACGGAAAGTACTTTCTTTTAAACATAACCAAAAGTAATAACGAAATGAGATTAATAGATATATTTATTATTAGTCAACCATAACACAAAAATGCCAACTCTTAAGCTTTTTGTATTCGTTACGTTACTGATTTTTGACGTAAGCAATGTTATTGTCTCTTTAAGTGTAAAGGCCATCAACGAGACATAAGCGGGATTGTGTAAACGCAAATAGACTATGAATGATGATGAAATAATTTACTTGACATTGGCAGAATTGTGCGAAATGCGCAGATAAGCCATTAATAAACGAAGAAGAAGACTATGAATGACATGTGAATGTCACAAATATAATAGCTAGGGATAACGCTATCTTTTATTAATTTCATTTTAAATTTCGAATATATACAAAATACAGTACAAGATATTTAAATAAAAAGAAAAAGAAAATCAAGAGAAAATTATTGAAAGAAAAATCTACTTTTGTCTTGACTGTGCCTTTGCCTTTCCATTTAATAGTAAATAGAAGAAAGAGAACAAAAAAAAAGAAAATGTAATAGCTAGGGTTGTAAAATATATATCGACATTTTTATGCCGCACCGAGTTCTTGAAGATATACTTTGTTAAATACACATGGAAAATAAATGCTTTTATCATTTTATTTAAATGATGTGAACAATATTTTTGTTTAATGTGTTTACTTCTTTCATATTTTTATATACCGGGTATTAGACGTATGGTAGTAGCGATGACGAAAATAAAACTCTCAATAATGTACACGATATAAAAATAACTATATATATTCACTATCTTACAAACGCAATTGAATAAAATTTGTTTATATACATTTTCTAATTTTTCAATCTTAACAATATAATATCTAAACAAATTCAGAAAATTATTCGAACAGAGAGTATATATTAATCTATTTATATTCTTTTTATTGTTACTCTTTTCATGATGATGAACTCTTTACCTGAATGTAAAATGTCTATGTTTATGTTAGGTACGACTTTTTGTTCGACTTGCACCGGCTGTGGTCACGACTGGAGCAGCAAGTCTACGCCTCTGCATCCGAGGATGAATATTCTTCCACCTTCAGATTTTTTCATCCAACTACCATGACAAACAATACTAACGGTTCTTTCATCTAAATCTGACTGATAAATAAAAAAGTAATAATGTAAATTACCCGTTACATCAAAGACTACAGTTAGTATGTAATAAAATCTATCGAATTTTTACTTGAAAATAAAAATAGATTTATTTTCGAAATAATTTAATTATTATTAAAATATCGATGATCGACAATTTTTGCAAGTCTAGTAGCAGCTGATTTTTTTTTTTTTTTTTTTTTTCTTCTTTTGGCGTCACACGGTTTGTGTATTTGCCAGTGTCAAAGGTAGGGAAACGATGGTAGGAAAAAGGATAGGATTTGCGACAAGATTTTAGCAATAGGATCAGGAAACGAAAATATTAATATATGTAAAATATATACGTTATATAACATACATAAAAAGGAATAACGATATTTAGACTTTAATATTATTTGACATTATAAAAGACGCTATGCATTGATATACTGATATGTTATTAGACGAGAGCAAAGAAACTATGGATGTGGGAAAGGAAACACGTAAGGATATGAGATCTTTAAAGAATTCGGATCGATCGTATAGTGTACAAGAAAACAATATGTGGTTAAGATCACAATAGTCTGACCCACACCTACAGGAAGCATCACTAACAATTCCTAGCTTAGTAAGATGTGCTGGTGTACTAACATGACCAATTCTCGAGCGTATTAAAATACTAGTAGCAGTCTTACTGATCTTAATTTTACGGAACCACGGTTTCATCATAATTTTAGGTTGTATTTGATAATAATGTTTTCCCTTTACTTGTCCACTATTTGTCCAATAAGTTTGCCACTCCTTATGCAAATGACACAACGGCAACAACAACAAGTCATGGGTATAAATTTTAAAAGGAAACATGTCTCCACAGTGTACTGCCTCTTTTGCTAATTGATCAGACTTCTCATTACCTTGAATTCCCACGTGACTTGGAAGCCACACAAATTCTACCAGATACCCTTTTTTAACACATTTATAAAGATTATTTCTTATATCAAACACAAGTGGGTTATATAATCTTGTACGGAATGGAAAATTATCAATAGCTTGTAAAGCACTCCTTGAATCAGAAAATATTATTGATTTATTTAGTTTCATGAGAACGACATACTCAACAGCTTTTAGTAAGCCTAGGCATTCCCCCGTAAATACAGATGTCTCCGGAGGAAGTTTACTTTTCTGCACAATGGAAAACTGAGAGTGGTAGACTCCTACGCCCGTACATTCAGAAGAGGAAGACTTAGAAGCATCACTGTATATATGATGGTAATTTTCATATTCGGAATCTATAATTGATTTAAAGGTTTTAGCGTTATGTTTATCTATCAGATCGTACCTTACAGATGGTGAAATTAGCAAGGCGTCATAATCTATATTAAACACTGGAAGACGATTTGACCGATGTATAGGTGAATGGAGGATCAAGTATTTTTGATAGCTTACTATTAAACAAGGCAGTTGTTTATGAGACCAATAGCTAGCTGTAGTTATTTCATTGTTCAGAGAGTTAAGTAGGTGGAAAAGAGGATGGTCGGAGAATTGAAGAGATCGGAACAAAAATCGATCTGCAAGAAATTGTCGTCTAATACTGAGTGGGGGTTCACAAGTTTCGATTTGTAAAGCATTAATTGGGCTTGAGGTCATAGCACCAGTTATAATTCTAAGTGCTTTTGATTGAATACCGTCTAATTTTTTTAATGAAATTAAGCTGGCAGGTTCTAAAAGGAAAGTACCATAATCCAATACACTTCGAATTAGCGCGTTATAAACCAACTTGAGCGATTGAGGGTGAGCCCCCCACCAGACACCGGACAGACATCGAAGAAGATTTAATAGTCGTTCAGTTTTCTTGATAATGTAATCTATATGGGAGCGACCGGAGAGCTTGGAATCTAATATCACACCTAAAAACTTAGCTTGTGATTCAACTGGTATAGGCAAGTTATTATAATAAACTCTAATTAAAGGGGGATTCCTCATTCTTGAAAAAACTACGATTGTACTTTTGGATGCAGATAAATCTAAGCCATTGGTAAGCATCCAGGAGTGTAATGAAATCAAGGCCAACTCAATATGTGACGCAGCTATCTCAACTGATCGGTTTGTTGAATATAATAACAAATCATCCGCATATTGTAAAAGCTTTATATGATTATCGAAGCAAGAATCCAAATCATGTGTATAGATATTGTATAGCAAAGGGCTAAGGACTGACCCTTGGGGTAACCCCTTCCATACAGTCCTTTTTATTTCTGAATAACTAGATAAACTAACAATCAAATTACGTTCTTCTAATATGTTCATAATAAAATTAGTTAACATTGACGGGATGTTTAGCGATTCTAATTTATTTTTTAATACTGACACTAACACATTATCATAAGCAGAATTGATGTCCAAAAAAGCAGCCACTATAGATTCGTTGTTTGTAAAACCTATACGTATGTCAGTTGTGAAGATACTTATATTATCCATTGTACTTTTCCCTTTTCTAAATCCATATTGCGTTCTCGATAGTATACCTTGACTTTCTACAAACCATTCCAAACGGTTTTTAATTAAAATTTCAGCTAATTTTATTAGCACAGAAGATAAAACTATCGGTCGATATGAGCTGACCTCAGATGGTGGTTTATTTGGTTTGAGGATGGGCAACACTACTTGTGACTTCCATGACAGAGGTATGTTTCCTGTCAACATGATAGTGTTGATAAGTTGTAGATAATAAAAAAGGATATTGTCACTTACATTAGCAAAGAATGAATATGGGATTCCATCTTCCCCCGGAGCAGAATCTTTAACATGATATATTGCACTTTTCAGTTCACGAAGAGAAAAGAGGCTATTTAAACCAGATTGATTATAAGACGACTGCGAAGGTTGTGCAGTGTTGAGCATGGGAACCCATGAAGGGGCCAATTTGTCCATGAAATTAATAGTTATTTCGGTGGGAATAGTAATTCCAGAAGATATATTATATGAAGATTTAAATCTTTTTA